CCCTTCCCCCACCTCCGGCCTTCCCTGCGGGGGTCACATCACTGAACAAATCTATGAAAGCGGCACAGCACACGTGAAAGCCCGGGCTGACCTACCTGCCTGGTTACTAACATGGGTCCAGGTAAACAAATGAGAGCGTGGGTGCTGATGTGGAGGGACAAGATCTGCTGATCAAAGGCAGAAGCACACGCAGAGGAATGGTGGTGCTGGCGTGGCCCACATGCCAATGACAGACAGAGCTAAGCGCTAGGGGGCGGGCACAGCAGGAAACCGGGGCTTCCACTTTGTGAACAACAACCAAAGCTGAATTGCTTGACTTTTCTTTTCCAGTAAGCATGCATTTATTTTATTTTTAAAACCCTTTTAATATATATTAAAATTTAATGTGTGAATTAGAAATAGAAGCAGTATGAAGGAGACGAAGCCCTGTACGCGAGCGTTCTGCAGGCAGAGCCGTTTTCCTGTTTTGGTGTAGGGTGTGTTTTCTAGAAGAGCGTCTCAGACTTCACTGAGCACAGGAGTTACCCGGGAGCTTGTAAAAGCGGGACGGCTGACAGCGGCCTGAGAACCTGCATCCCCAGCAAGTTCCAGGGGCACCGATGCTGCTGGTCTGCAGACCACACCTGGAGTAGCTCTGTTTCAAATTTATGCTTATATGATATGTGCAACTAAGGAGAGCAAATAATAACAATAAAAAGAGAGGACTACTCTCCAGGGACCCAGGGACTGACCCCCCGCCAGCTGCCAGGCAGGGCCAGCCTGGGAGTGTCACCTGGGAGGGGCCACCTTTGCCACTGCTGTTGCAGACAGAAACCATGGGCCTGGTTGGCAAGCGCCGAGGTGCAGGTGGCAGTCAGGAAGCCAGGGTGGTCCCACAGTGTGGGGTGTGCCTGCTTGTCAGGGGCAGCCCCAAGACCACTCTGCGGCTAAGCCAGGAAGGAAACACCAGTCCCGGGGTGGACCTGGCCTGCAAGAGGTTTTCTCTAAGTCTCAGCAACACACAGGCTCCCCTCCCCAGTCATCCAGGAGATGTAAGCTGGCATATCCCACGAGGTGGATGTTATTATTGTCATTTTATGAATGAAGAGCCCGAGGCCCAGAGAAGCTAAGTAACTTCACTGGGGACACACAGCTCAGACATAGACATGGCTCTGAATGACCCCAAAGGCTGTGCTCTCATTCTACTCGGCCACACCACTGACCTGTCCTCAGCAGCTAGGGAAGATAGTGGCTGAGGCCGCAGTCCTGGGAGCCTGGCTTTTTCTGGGACCCATATCCCAGACCTTGACCAGCCTCCACCTGGGCCTCCCAGCTGGCCCTGCCTTGTCCCACCTTTGCCACCTGGAAAAGCGAAGCACAGGGGTGCAGGGGACTGGCCAGGCCTGGCCAGGGCCCACTCTGATGGAAACCCCCAGAAGTGGGCTGGGAGCATGTCCAGAGGAGGCAGTCACACGAGCCAGGTGTGATCAGCAGTTCTGACACTTCGTTGCTGCTGGAACAGAAAGTCCTCCTCCAGGCCCACCTCCTGCCCGGGGTGCATCCTCACTGCTTATGCTCGGCCCTTCCTGCGTGCCCGGCCATGCTCCAGTCTCCAGCCAGGCAGGGTGTCGGCATGGGCTCCATGGAGGAGTGTTAGAGAAGCAGTATTTGCTCAGTCCTGGGCCGCCTCCCGTCACCCCCCACTCCTGCCTCAGTTGCAGTGGTTCCTGCCCGCTCCTCACTCTCCTGATCTAGGCCTCCGTTATTTCCCTTCTGACGGGACACAACAGCCTCCCCGCAGCCTCCCTGCCTCCAGTCTCACCCTGTCCAAGGCACCCTCCACGCTGCAGCCTGAGAGTGTTCACTAAAGGCCGGATCTGCCCATGCCCCTCCCAGGCTCACACCACCTGTGCTTCCTGCTGCACCTGCTGGGCAGGGTTTACAAGCCTTGACGGATCTGACAACCCCCCTGCCCCAGGCCCCAGGGCCCTCACCAAGATTACTGTTTAATCCTCCAAGGCCCCTGGGGAAGTAGGGGCCACAGTCCTCATTTCATAGCCCAGGAGCCAAAGGCCCAGGGTCCCACTGGCAGGAAGCAGCAACGCTGGGCTTAGAATCCAAGCTCAGCCTCAGTTCGGGCTCTTGCGTAGCTCAACCTCCCCCAGGACACACCAGTCGGTCCCGTAGGTGCCCCTGCAGCGCCCGCTATCCTCAGGCAGCCTCCGGCAAGGCCTGGGGGAGGCTTCGCCAGTTGGAGCCTGTTCAGGAAGGGTACCTAATCCCAGAGGGAACAAAGGGCTCTGAACGGAGATAAGAGCCCTGCTTAGCGGCAGGAGAGGAGCTGGCAACGCTGAAGACTCTGGCCTTGTCAAATCCCCCATGAAATGAATCCTAAGGGGCAGAGCTACCACAGGGAAAGCAGTGCCGGGGCAGCAGGAACGCCAGGCTGAGAAGCCCCAGCCACGTGGCCTCGGTGGAGCTGACCCCGGGAACAGACGCAGGGGGCTCTCAGTGGCCCACCCTGTGCCTGTGAGGAAGGCAGAAGTACCCCCATTTTCACACATGAGGAGTCCAAGTGGTTTGCCCAAGGAAGCTCGGAATCCACTCTCTCGCCTACACAAATTGCCGTTTTATTGATGCACAGATGCGGACTTGCTCTGCCGGGGAGAGTGGCAGGGTCGGGAGCTGCGTGGAGAACGGGACAAGGGCCGGCTGCCACTCTGCCTCGCCTCCTGCCCAGAGAGCCTCGAGTCAGCTGTAATTTACTGAGATGTAATAAATCTCTCCTGCTCCCTGGCCCCTCCCGAGCACTGTAATTATTCCTCTCCGGGTCTTACTGCCTTCACTCTTGTGGAGCAGGCCCACGTGGCAGGAGCCCAGAGGACTCTCGGCAGGAGTGGGTCCCGGTGCCATGAAACCTCCAGGTCAGCCAGGCTGTGTGGCTCACTCAGAACCAGCGCCCGGAGTCGGCGATTTAGAGCCAGCCCCCAAACATGCAAGCCCAGAGTGATCACCTGAGTGGGGAGTGGGGTTGGCAAGATTGGGGGCTTGGATTCAGGTCAGCCCCGAGATTTCAAAACCGCTCTCCATACCCCTGATACTGCAGCTCCCCCCAGCCTTACCCATTCCATTGGGGCTTAGATGAACAGGGCGATAATGACCTATCAGGGACATAACATGATCCACCCCATCATTTCTCAGATGGGAGACAGGTCTAGAGAGGGACAGTGACTTGTCCAAGGTCACCCAGAAAGCTAGACAGAACTGGGATATGTCTTGGCCCCTCCAGCTGTGCCTACATTTCCCCCGAGTGCCCTTGTTCACGTCCCACGATTGTGCTGGCATAAGCAATGTGTGTCTGGGGGCTCAGAGCTGTCCCCTCCCCGCTGGAGAGACAAGGATGGAGAAGCTGCGACACCGCCACGTGCCAGTTTTCCGAGCAGAGAGTGTCAGTGTGTGCTCGGGAGGCCAGCTGCTGCTCCCAGAGCGCCGCACACCGACCCCCATGCATCTGGGGGCACTGAGGCTGGGAGATTCTGTGGGTCCTCCCCAGACCCCCAAAGCCTTCAGGAGGCCATGTCCAAGCTTTCCGAGGGAATCTGGACCAGTCATCCCCGTTGGAGACTCAGCTGATGGGGAGATGGACACTCAGCAGGATCCAGGGCACAGGGTCACCCTGTCTGTCTTTTCCATCTCGTCATGCAGGTGCTCAACAAACCGCTGCCAAATGCAAAGAAGGAACAAAACCCCACATCCCTGAGCCCAGCTTCAGGAGCGAGACAGATTTTTCACAAGTTCCAGCACCCCAGCACTTCAGGGAGCTTGTAGTCAGTGCACACAGGATTAAGGTCAAGCCCTCCTCCCAGCCCAGAAGCTGCCTGCACCCACCTGCTTAGGTAAGAAGAGCCCTGGTCACGGACTCCATCCTGGTCATAGACGCCCCGGGAGAGGGAAAGTGGGAGGCTGGGTGTGTATGGTTTCCTAGCGAGCCTGAACTTTCTTGGGGCTGGAAGTTCTCATTGTGCCTGGAGCCCCCAAGGGCCTGGCCTGGGTGGAGGGGGGTGCTGGGGGAAGGCTGGCAGGGTGACCCTTCTGGCTTTTCTGAGCTCCAGTCGGGGCTATGGCTTCCAGGACGCTCCCTTATCCTTAAGAAAGACCAGTGAACCTGCCCCTGGAGGTTCTTGTCTTGCAGCCGTGGGAGCAGCCATGAGACACGGAGTGCCAGGGTCTCTCGGGCCCACGCGGTCCGGGCCGCGGGTCTGCAGGACGCTGAGCGGGGTGAGACGGCAGAGCCAGGAGAGTGGACGGGAAATCTCTCCTGGATTTTTGGTGTTTAGAGAGTCTTTTCATTTCCAGCGGGAAGAACCAAATGACAGTCTGGGGCTCCCCCTCCCCCACTATTTAAGCTGAGATTTCAAACAGACAAACGTGGGCGTGAGGTGGGCGGTGGTGCAGAGCACGGCGTGTTGGAGGCCAGCTCTACCACTTACTGGCTGTGTGACCTTGGACAAGTGGCCAAACTTCCCTGAGCCTCAGTGTCCTCATCTGTCGAGCAGGGCCGATGCCCCCTTTCTCGTGGGCATCCCGCCAACTGAATGAGTGATTACGCAGGTCCCGAGCCCAGCACAGCGGCTGGCGGAAGGCAAGTCTCCGTGCATGGGCTCAGCTCCTGGCAGCCGAGAGAATGAGGGCCAGGCTCCTGTCTGAAACTTTCCCTCCCCGATTCCCCTCATGCCCAGCTACGAGGGGGCGTAGACGTCCCTTGGCACGATGGGTGCCGCTGCCTCTCCCGCAGGCCCTCGCTGCCCACCTGGGTCTCTGCCCACAGCCTCCTCGACACAGGTGCACTTTGAGGGGCGCGCCGCTGGGACGGGTGACGCCGGCCGGGCGGCTCTCAGCGCGAGGCAGCCGGGGCCAGGCTGCTGCGGACGCTCCAAACGCGATGGGCACCCGGCCGGCGGTGCCCCGCGCGCGACCTCCGCCCTCACGCCCCGTGCCCCTCGCCCCCGCTCGGCCCTTACCTTGAACCATGGGAACGGCGTTGCCCCGGCCCGCCGAGGACTTGGACGCACGTGACGGGGCGGTCCGGTGTCCGTCTCGGGCGGCGCGCAGCTCGTACCGGCCGCTCGTGCCCAGGCCGCGGCGGCGGAGCCTGCTAGGGCCGGGCGGGCAAGGCGGGCGCGGGCGAGGCCCCGGAGGCCGGCGCGTGGCGACTGCGTGCCCAGGCGGGAGCCTCTTGCCGGCTCCGACCGCGGCCGCGGCTCAGGACGGCCAGGACGGTTCCCTGCGAGCGGCGCGCGCGGCTCCAGCGCAGTCGTCGGGGGCTGCGGGGAGAGGCGCGGGAGCTGTCCCTGGTGCTGACGACTCGTCCGCTCTGGGCTGAGGCTGCGCGACCTCCCGCCGGCCTGGGGACGCCCCGCCGCACCCCAGCCCTGCGGGGGGGGGGGGGCTCCGGTTGCTCTTTGTCTGCTTTCCTGGCGCTCCCAATGCCACAGCGTTGGGATTTGTTGGAGTCAGGCTGAAGCTGCCGCCGCTTGTCCACAGTGCGACCTTGGCGCAAGTCCCTCACTTGAGGAGTTTCTGATTCTCATCTTCAAAATGGGCCAGAGCAGAGCCTGTAAGGTTGGTCTGAGAATGAAATTCAGTGACATCCCGGAGCCTGGCACACAGGAGTGCTTACTAAATGCTTGCCTCTGTCATCATTTGTTCTCATTCTTTTGGTTAGCAACCACAGAGCAAGCAGACAAAGGGCAGTGCTTGTTCTGCTCTGGGCTGGCGGGGGTTTGGGGCATGGTAGCTGCCTTGGGGGGGGGTCTCTCAGGGCACCCATGGGGAAGGGAGCACACTGTTTCCTTGGGAACCCCAAAGCACAGAGTTAAGTCTGATGCCCAGAAGTTAAAGCGAGGCAGAGTTGCGCTGGGTAGGGAGAAGTTTTTAACGTAAGGTCCTTCCACCTGAAAGGAGTGACCCAGGATGCAGTGAGTGACCCCTGTCTCTGCAGAAACTCAAGAAGTGGCTGCAGCCACAGGGAGCTGAACTGAGAGAGGACTGGGGTTTAAAACGCGTTGACTTAGAATATGGGAAGCACTCAGAGCCCTGTCGGGTACATTGAACGTGCTAATGAATGTTTGCTTTATTCACCCTTAAGGTCTCTATAAGAAGCGAGATCCTGGTCGGAAAAACCTTTCACTTTACCCCCATTCTGGAGATGAGCATGCTGAGGATAGACAGACGGGATAAAGACAGAGGGGACCTGCTTGGAGTGTATCCCCACTTTACAGACGGGCAGAAGACAGAAGGGCAAGCATCTTGCTCAGAGCCAAACCAAAGGACCAAGAGGGTGAATGCTTACAAACCACACACAGGGACCACCGGTGTCCAGCCTGCTGGACCCCCAGCAAGGGTCCATGCCTAGTTTCCCAGAGTTATTCAGGTCATTTTGACCCTGAAGAGTTTCCTTATAACAAACCAGGCAAGTGCCTCATTCCTCTTAACTAAAGGGAAGAGCTGGTGCCTGCCCCCATGTGTGTCTCTGTCCCTTCCAAGCAGGATAATTAAACGTCACCTGCCTCATTTCCTAAGGGACCGGTGGCTGTGCTTGATTCATTAATTAACTGTGTGCAGTACCTGCTTCCACCAGGCACTTATCTCACGATAAACATCATTCATTATGTGCTTAATATGTTCCAGACACGAGGCTGAACCCGTTGCCTTCATTGTCTCATTGAGTCCTCTCAACAGTCGATGAGACGGGTACTGTTGTTATCGGAGTTTGCAGGGGAAGACGTTAGGCTTAAGAGTGGCAGACCAGAGTTGGGCTGGATTGACTCTCAAACATGTGCTCCTAACACCCTCTTTCCACCCAGATTTTCCACATTCTCCCCAAGCTAGGAAAAAGGATGGAAACATTGATAGAAATTCCATATAAGGAGAGAGAGAGAGCGCGAGGGAAAGTGAAAGCCAGGAGAGAGATACAAGCCAGCCAATCATACCCTAGTTGTCGGCATAGAAATCCTTTAAATCAACATTTTCAGTTAAAATACCCATTATGATAACTGAGCAACTTTTTTTTAAAATTTTAATTTCAGGATTGCTTGGATCCTGGCAAATGTGTGCCAACTATTTTAAAAGGAGCATCACTGCCAAACCCTCTTTACTAACCAGTTCCAACACTCTTCCACTTCTCCCCCTCACTCGCGCACTGTGGAATTTCACAGCTGTGGGTCTGGGCAGTTGCAGACTGCCCCTGGAGCTCCAGGCCTCCTGAAGCACAGGTTTCTTTCCCGTGCTGTGCAGAGAGGTTGGCTGCTGGCACTTGTGATGATGCCACCTGAGCCCATTTCATTGAAATCAGGACTGAATATCCCCCAACACGTAAGGTAGATGCCTTTCTTACCTTCCCTTTACAGAGGGGTGGAGTGGCTGGCTTACCCAGTGCAGCAGGGAGCTGGCTGCACTGAATGGATTTTATTTGGTTAATGGTGCCCAGTGGTCACCACCAAAATTGTTCTTTGTGTGACCAAAGCATGGTTTTAAACAAAAACCCCGTTTCCCAAAATAAAAACAAGAGGAAAGTGAAGAGTCACTGGTCTGACTTTATAGAAACAACTTGCCATCAGGTTTCCTTAAATAGCAAGTTCCCATGACGTGTGCAAAAAGGATTCAAGCTACACACAGTTCTTCAGGTTGGCCAAAAATGGGCCTGGGGGAGGGGGGACTGATGTCACCCCCCCCTCACGGCATGCCTTCCGTGACATTGTGCTTTTCAGCTGCCTGGCCACTTTAGCTTACAGCGGCTACTATGTCCCCATCACCAGCACTCTGCCACAATGCAGAGCATCGTGGATATAACTCAAATCCAATAGACGGCCAAGTTGGTTGAAAAACCCCGACACGTTGGAACATGTGTGGCAGTTTATCTCAGTTTTCCACTCAGGGCGAATGGGGCATTAGTAAGATCAGCCAGTGCTATGAAGACAGGAGCTTTCTGTCCATACGTTTCTTGGGAGCAAGTGTGGGTAGCCTGTAGGGGAGGGACCGTGGCTTGACCAATGTCTGTTTCTCTCTAGGGCACTGCAACTGTACGTGGCCATACACACCTGACATATAGGAAACGTAATACCAGTGATTATGGGGACCTGACCTTCTCATCACAGCCACACCCCACATAGTCACATACACACTCAGGTGGAGGGATCCAGGATCTTGGGAGCAAAGGCTACGGACCCAGCGGCTGTTTTTGACCCGAGTCTCGTCCTGCAGAGAGGCAGGGAATCTAAGTGTTTGAGGAACAGTTTTTGACAGAATGTGAGAAGAAAGGCCGCGAGACTTTCCAATTCTCTTTCTGGGAACTTTCAGGGGGAGGGGGGTGAGTTCACCTTCTCCAGATGTGTCCAAGCAGCACTGGCCATTCACTCACAGCAGAGATGAGCTGGCCCTGGGGGCCCTTCCAGTCTTGGACATCCATGAGATTTCAGAAGAGCAGCTGATGGCCGGTCAGAGTGGGTGCCCTCCCCGCCCCCCCGCCACCCTCCGGCCTCTGTTTCAGCTGCCTGGATGCGCTCAGGGCACCAAAAGACGTGAGAGTCTTCCAAGTTCTTCTTTCCCCAAACCAGCACTGGACCAAATGATCTAAGTAACCGCAGGTTCTCCCCGCACCTGCCTGTGGGAACTGCCCAAGCCTTTAGGCAATTAGAAATTAACCTTTGTTATTTCAGTTGTTTTCTTTTCCCAGTCTACACTCCTGAGGGGTTCTGCTGTGGACTGACTGGGTCCCGTGGCCGCCAAATAATCCATCCAGGTCAAGCTCATTTAGAGACTAGACAAATTATTATCATTATTTTTTAATATTGCAAGATGAGCAATGCCGTTGTTGGCTCAGCAGAGTGTCACATCCTAAATCAAGGGCTTTTGGACTGGGCGTCTTTTGGACATGGCCAGGAGAGTAACAAGGCATCAAAGTGTGCAAGACAGAGTGAGAACGAGGGGATTAGACAGCCGAGTGTGCAAGGGGACGGGAGTGGGCGTGCGTACCTGTGAGCGTTCGGGTGCACACGTGATGTGTGGCGTGTTTCCATTGCCCTGGTTTGAAAAGGCAGCTTCGTCGGCTTGAACAGAAATTACTGGTGGTTTTTAATTACTGCAACATCTTAAAACGTTGTGACAGCGAGCTTGATGTGTTCATTCTTTAGCACTCTTCAAGGATGCTGGAGGAGGAGGAGATGGCGCCAAGTGAGGTGCTCAGAATCAGTTAAGGGTCCCTCAGGGCTCCTGTGAATCACAGCTCATCCCACCTAGTCCTGCCAGGATGGGGGAGAGCGAGGGGGTGGCTATGGCGGGTTCATTGGGATGGATCCATTTCTGGGAAGCGTTAACAAAGCACTCAGGATCTGACCTTCACTCTCCCAGCCAAGCCACTCCCCACAGCTCGAGCAAATGCAGGCCATTCATTCATTCATTCATTCATTCACATGCCATGCGCCCTGGGTGCAGAGACAAAGGCAACAGCCCCTGTTTTGTGGGAGTTCAGGGGCAGGTGAGGTTTCCACGCTTGACGACACAGGGTCCTCTGAGTGGGTGGAGCTGGACCCAGGACTGTGTTATCAGTGGCTGACGTTCCTTGTGTGCTTACTTTCATTATGCTTTCTTACAGCCAAGTGAGATGAGCAACTCTTCCTTTATCATACTCATTTTAAAGTAAAGAAGCTGAGACTTGGAGAAGGTGAAGGCCTGCCCGAGGCCGTGCCATGGCCAGGCTCCATCTGACTCCAAAGTCCACTCTGAGCATGTCCTCTGCTGCCGCTTGGCCCTCAGTCTATCCTGCTAAAAAGCAGGGGATAAAAATAAGAGATTGCTTACTTGGAGTATGGGAACCTAAAATTAAAGCGCTCTCCCTGAAGCCTGTCAGCTTCTATTAGCACAGGCTTGTAGAGGATGCTGGACACGTTCATTTCAATCACAGGCTGAAGCTGGAGTGCCCTCTGTGACTGACACTCGCAAACATCACGACAGGACAACAAGACGCTGTGCGAGGCTGGGACCCTCTCATTGCAACGGAGAGAGAGCAGTTCCTTCCCTCGGGACAGTCTGTGAGGGGCCACGCGCAGCTCTGCCACCCAAGGCCCTCCAGCATGTGACCCTCTCTGGGGCACAAAGGTCAGAAACGTGGACATGGCCATGTCTCTCTTGTCGGAGTCCATCACTGCCACCTGCGCTGCTGCCCTGGCAGATTTGGACTGGGGGCGAGGAGGAGGGAGGGCATGGGAGACAAAGAGAGGGAACAGCAGGGTTAAATGTGGGGAAGCTGCCGTGTGCATGGC